ACCTTATACATTGTGTAACATTAACTCATTATTAATTAATTATATTACCATCTATAGAATGGCGTCCATGTGGCGCAATCTTATTTCATCCAGGGGGAAGGGGTGTTGTGTCCTGAGCCTGCAAGAGGCAGGCTCGGGACGTTGTAAGAGTCCCGGGCATTTGCAGAAGCTGCCCGGGACCAGACTGAGCGGCGCCGGCCTTGTGTGCATGCGCAAGGCGGGAAAAGCCCGCCTCATGATTGGTTGAACTTGCCCGGGGATCAGAGGGTATAAATAGAGGCCTGCGTGCCTCTGCTCGGGTTGTTCGTAGAATGGAGCAAACAATAAAGACTTGTTGGAAAATGCTTCGTCTCAAGCACCATATTTCTCCGGACTTAACACCAACAATTCAACAACTTTGATTCTGGGAATGGTTTACATCAGGATCTCCAACTCCCGGTCCATGGACCAGTACCAGACCGTGGCATGCCAGCAACCAGTCCACACAAACAAAGCCCCATCTGCGGGATGCAGGCAGCACACAAAATCACACACCTGGAAAAACCATGGAAAAACCTCTCTCCACGGAACTGGTCCCTGGTGCCCAAAAGGTTGGGGACCTCTGATTTACATGATGGAAGAAAATAAAGATACCAAGATATAATATGACAAAAGAGAAACATCAGAAAAGCTTGGGTTTGTATGCATGTGGGTATTGTATGTGTGTGGGGCTACACACATACGTGAGGAGGACAATGAAGGTCTTTGAAGGTCTGGTGCAATATGAAATGTGCCAAGAAGTCTCTCACTCCTGACATCAACACAGAATATATAGAAAGGTGTCCAAGATTTGATTGATGACCTTCTGTCAAGATCTGCTGACTCTCCCAGCTCTCTTCCAAGCTTATTGTAATTCCGCTGCTCCACAGTGCAAACACCACACATTAATGAGGCCTGATCAAAATGGATGGCATTTCTAAATGCCAGCGTGATTATGGGGTGACTTCCTGAAAAAGCTAGCCCTGTCTTTTGATAGGTTCATTAGACCAATGAGGGCACTAATTGTGCTTAATCTTTATGCAGCATATTATACCCTAAACTCTTTGTCAGCAATTAGAGTTCCTTCAGGATGGAATCAGTGCTGAGGAAGGGCTATATCGGCCTATATCTTGCTGCTGGATTTGAGATGGTGGGTCAAAGATCACCCATAAATTGGTCTTGGTTCAGGTAGAGCTTGATTTATGACTTCCTTTTGAGTGACTTCAAATTGCATTGCTTGGGATTAAAAGCAGGTCCTATTTGATGCTTTTTTTCCAATAGAAGTTGAGGTTTAGACTTGACTAAACCTTGACTGACCCTTGTAGCTTATTTTCCTAACCATTACATAGCCCATGCTTTATCACATTAGGTAATGTGATAAAGTATACCACAGTTATCACAAAAACAACTATGAAGAGGAATCCTGATCTCAGTGTGGAGACCAATATTTTAGAAGTGGGCTTTGCATGAACATTACTCTGGAACATTTTTTCTAGAGTCAGAAAGGGCAGAAACATTTGCAGAGGCTGATGCTTTTTGTCAAAATGATGACAGCCGTGGTGCAGTGCCAGCTCTGCCTTGTGTGAGTATTCATGTGGCATCACAATACAATGGACAAAAGGGACAAAGTTTGCATTGTGCTGTTGCATTCATTATTGCCCTCTCCCAATTCCTGCTCCCCCATGGATGCCTCCAGAAGTGTCATTCAAAGGAATTTTACTGCAAAAGATAGAATATTCTTGTTTATGCAAGTTAATGAGATTGTAATGAGGCTTCCAAATTTTGTGGAATTTTTAAGGAAATTCCTTCTAATATCTAACCTGAATCCACTTTCCTATGGTTTCAAGCCATTGCTTCTAGTCCTGTTCTCTGTCCTCTCTATAACAAAACTTTAATGTACATATTTGAAGGCTGCTGGCAGCTCTCCACTCAATCTTTCACCCTACAGGAGCCGTGGTGGTGCAATGGTTAGAATGCAGTATTGCAGGCTAATTCTGCTGACTGCCGATTGCCAGCAGATTGTTTTGGGCAATATGTTGACTCTTAGAGAGGGCTGTAAAGTACTGTGTGTCATGTGTCTGATTAACGAAACACTTAAAAGGACTTTCAGGCATATTTTTTCCTAAAAGCATTTATTAAGGTTACAGAGACGTCAGTACAGCATGGTGGAAATGCTTAGGTCTGGCTTCTCTTCCGTTACGCATATACATTCTAAGCATTTCCCCCCCCNCCCCCCCCTTATTTTGGGGTCATGGTTCACATCTTCCAATCAACTTGGAAGATGTGATTTACTTCCGGTTTCTTTTTCCCGGGCTATCCTTATTCTCCTCCCTTTTTCCCTGTTGCCTGGTTTAACTATAAAAATACCAGACAGTTCTGCATATTGTCAAAGCAAGAATATACAGTATTTGCAGCGTTGACACTGTGAAGTGGTATACAGTATAAGTCTAAATGTTATTGCTTCAGAATAACAGAGTTGGACAGGATGATGGAAGTCTTCTAGTCCAATCCCTGCTCAAGCAGCAAACCCTATACCTTTTCAGACAAATGGTTGTCTAATCTCTTCTTAAAAACCTCCAGTGTTGGAACACCCAAAGCTAATTCCTTTAACCACTCCTCACTGGACCAGTCTACTTACCATCTTGATAAACCTCTTTTTGAAGTTATTCCAATTGGTTACAGAATAGTACAGAGCAGGGCAACACCTTCTCATGATCTGCCTGCTAAGCCTTGGTTATGCATCTATACATCTACAGATAGCATTTGCAGTTTCATCAGCTACATTTTACCTTTAGCCTAACTTTCTGCAAAGGCTGACCCAGAGCTTGCTTTTTTTTTGAAAGATACAAAGATTGTTCTTAGAATCTTTCAGTTTCATTTTGATGCTTTGATATTGCTAAACCTGTGTGGCTTATCTCAGAGCCAGAGACCCCAAATGGATTTTGTCTTTGGATTAGACTTCTATTGATGAAGAGACAATTGCTATTTTTTGACCTGATCCTCAAGAACCATGTTTTAAAGCTGGGGCATTTGCATAGCCATTTCCCAACATCGGCAGGGCTGATGTACCACTGGTTCGACTTAAATTTCCTCATTTTTAAATTTATTTTATGAAAGACAGCAAATGGGGATTAAAGACATTGGCTACACAAAAACAAGAACTGCAGTCAGGAATGAGAACAACATGACAACTTATCCTTCCTTCCTTCCTTCCTTCCTTCCTTCCTTCCTTCCTTTCCTTCCTTCCTTCCTTCCTTCCTTCCTTCCTTCCTTCCTTGTATCATTTTCAGCACTTGTTGCATCTGCTGGAGAAAAATGTCCATGTCATTTGTTTTCTCCAGAATCTTATCTACCCTGGTGGGGGTACTGAGGCATGTTTTCCTCAACCCTTTCCACCCTCTCCTTTTGTTTTCTGTATCATGTCCTTTTAGACTGTAAGTGTGGAACTAGTACAACTTTTGTCTATGGAGATTCTCAGTCATCCAGCTCATAGTTGTCTCAAAGGTGCATTTTTCCAAAAAGCAAGTAGACTGTTTTTTTTTGAGGAAGAAGACATTTCATTTCTCATCTCTGTTAGATCCACCAAAAACATAATTGCATATAATGACTGACAGTCATTGGTAGCATCTCCATGCTTCCTTCTCTGCTCTGTAGTAGCCAATTGGTAGCACAAATGAAGCAGAAAGCACAATTCAAGCTGATCAAGGGAATTTCACTTGATATGCTGTAGTAAAAAGGAGAGAGCTCCTTTTTCTCTGTAAGAAAGTTCTGAAGGAGAGGAACTGGCCTTGGGTCTGCTAGCTACAACATGCTCAGATCATACAGCAGGACATCTTTGAAAAACATTTGTGACATCCAGCCACAAGGGAAGAGATTTTACAGACGTGAGGCTGGGCACTCAAGCTAGTAATATTTATGGTGCTTAATAGGAAAATTGACTGGAAATGAACATGGCTCTTTCTTACATTATATTCAAATGGACATAACACAAAGTCTCTCAAATGCCCATTTAGTGATGGCATGGCTGGTAGATAGTGGCATTTTACTCCTGTCCTGGTTTCAGAGGTATAGTCTGTTTTCCCATTTGGAGTAACTCTGCTTGCTAATTTGAGACTGCAATCTAAATGAATGTGTTACATTTGGGAAAGCAAGAACTTTGTTACAAAGCTTCAAAATATCACCCAGAGGGGAGATGTTTACGGGTATTTAAAAAAACTGCTCAACAATCCAGTTTGAATAACTAATCAAAAAACACAGCTGTTTAAGGAAAAAAAGCAATTACAAATGGACAGTAACGTAAAGTTAACCCATCTGCCATTTATTCCCATTTGCAGGAAACAGAGTTCATGTTTTTTTTTAAAGCCATCCGTTGATTTCAAAATGAACCTAAAAAAATAGAACAGCAAGATCTATTAGTATCATGTTGGTATTTATTAAAAAAATGGGAAAAGGGCCAGCTGGAAAATCCAACCTTTACCATAATCCCATTTCAAGGTATCTGTGTAGGGCAGGGGTAGGCAACCTTGGCTCTTTTATGACTCGTGGACTTCAACGCCCAGAATTCCTGAGCCAGCATAGCTGGCTCAGGAATTCTGGGAGTTGAAGTCCATGAGTCATAAAAGAGCCAAGGTTGCCTACCCCTGATGTAGGGATTTCATTGAACTTCTGCTCTTCCTGCTTCCTTCTCCTTCCAAAACATTTAATTCAGTCCTTCAAATATTCATGACATAGAAAATTTTTGTAATCATCATGAAAAACAAAAGAAGGAGAAAGACAATCGGTACTGGGACAATAAAGACTCCCCTTTCGAGAAGGTACCATGTAAACGTAAAGTAAAGTAACGCAAAGTTTTTCGAAGGGGAGTGCTCTTCGTCTCTTTAGCGGTCTCGTTGAAGAGTACGAATAACAATGTTTGGTGGTCAAGCAGAAGGTTTGCAGACACAAAACAACAACAACATCAAATTCTCTCCCTTGTCATTTTTTCAGATGCCATATGCCAAGTGAGCCATGGAGCCCAGTATCCAGTCGCAGCTGGTGTGACATCCTGTAAGGGAAACTGTCACAAAGCTTGAGAGTTTGTCAAATGAGATCATGTGTTCAGTAGCAATGCGGCACTTGTTGAGAAATCGGACTCCAGATAAGGCCAGGTATCTGGTGACTGAAGCCGTCTGTCGAAATCCTTGAGACGAATGGAGTTCAGCGAGCATTAAAAATCAACTGTGGGAAAATAAAGCAAGCTAAATGTTGGGAAGATTTGATCAACTCGCAAGCACTCGAAATTCACCAGTGGTGGAATTTTAACATTAATTTTTCTATTGCTGTTTGGAAATATTGATATTTTTGAGCATATGAGTTTGGAAAGCCAAGTTGAGTTCTTCTAGAATTGGATGGGATTCGGGAGAGAATTAAAACTCAGTTAATTTAACTTGTGTTTACTTTGGATAAAAATCACAATCATATAATGAGGTTATTCTGCACTTATGTATTTCATCATGTTCTATATCAGTGGTTCTCAACCTTTTTAATGCCGCGACCCCAACCGGTCGTACGTCGAGGACTAAACCGGTCGTAAGTCGAGGACTAAACAGGTCGTAAGTCGAGGACTACCCAACCGGTCGTAAGTCGAGGACTTTCCTGCCCGGGAGCGCCGTGCATGCGTGGTTCCGCCCCCTGCGCTGGCCGAGGCGTATCTGGCAAGCGGCAGAGACGGAGCAGGCCAACCACCAGCTGGCCCAGCCCAAGGAAAGTAAGGCACCCGCCGGAAAAGGGGAAAAAAATGGACAAAAAAAATGGCAGACAAAAAAAATGGCGGACAGCCTTGCTTGGTGACCCCCATGAAATGGTCGATCGACCCCAAATGGGGTCCCAACCCACAGGTTGAGAACCACTGTTCTATATCATTAAAAATGACCATTTTTTGATATATCTGGAGCCACATCTGAGGAAATCAAGAGCTGCCTGTGGCTTGGGACCTCAGTTTGTGCCCTTGTGTTGTAAAAGTGATCAGAAAAGGGTTCCACTTTTAATACAATTCTCTACCTTTCATCTCAACATGGCACCTTTTGGTGTTACCAGAAATTAATCTCTTATAGCTTTAATCAATAGGTCTGGATAATGTAGTATTTTTTGTCTGTAGTTAGCATGTGGTAGAGCCAGTCTGGTATAGTGATGATGACATCAAGCTAGAAACCAGACGATCATGGCTTCTTGTCCTGCCTTAGTTTTTCTCAGCCCCAGGAAAAAGGCAATGGCAAACTGCTTCTGGAAATCTTGCCAAGAAAACTGTAAGCTTGCCTAGTCTAGCAGTCACCAGGAGTCCACACTGACATGAAGGTAAAAAAAAAAAAGAGAGAGAGAAAAGTTAAGCATGTGCAAGAATCCACTACAACAGGATTCCCACGGAGTATCTACTACTCTGTGGGAATCTGAAGCAATCCGTCCTATTGTCTGTGGAGATTCTCAGTCATCCAGGTCATAGTTATCCCAAAAGTGCTTTTTCACGAGGCAACTGGACTTTCTTATTTTTTCTTTGAAGAGGTTTCGCTTCTCATCCAAAAAAGCTTCTTCAGCTGAAGAAGCCTCTTGGATGAGAAGCGAAACCAGTTCAAAGAAAAAACAAGAAAGTCCAGTTGCCTCGTGAAAAAGCCTTTGATATAATCTGTCCTATTGTTGAACAGATCTTACCTTAGAAAAACTTTCCTGATGTTTAATCAGCATTCACTTTTTCAAAATAATTTAAACCCATTCTTTCTTGTCCCGTCTTCTGAAACAAGTCTAAAAAAAAATCTGGTCTCTCTTCTACATGATAGCCATTCAGATGTTTGAAGGCAACCACTATGTCCCTACAATGTTTTTTTCCTCCCCAGGCTAAACATGTCCACAGTCAACCCATTCCTCATTAGAATCTTTCCCCCAAGCCCTTTATCTCTTCTGAACACGCTCCTAGTTGTCACCGCCTTTCCTAAAGTGCTGCACACAGATCTGGATACAGTATTTTGGATACGAGATAGCCAAAACACAACAGAAAGGAATGAGGAATGACTTCTCCTGATCCTGACACTATATTTCTTTTGAAGCAACCTAAGATTACATTTGTTTTTCCTTTACATCACACTGCTGGCTCATTTCAACTAGGGATCCACTAAAACACCCAAATCACCTAATAGGCTCCCTTAGTCTTATACAGGTAATCTGCCACTTATGTTCATATTTGAGACTGGAATTCCGGTTGTAAGTTGTACCGATTGTTAAGTGGGTCACCATGCCCGATTTTACGACCCTTTTGCGGCAGCTGTTAAGCGAATCACCATTGTGGTTAAATGAATCAATTATCTGTAATGTGCATTTTTTCTTGCCAGAAAATGGAAAAGTAAAAGTAAAGCGGTTTCTGGAAATAAATGTCATAATTGTGGTCATGGGATTGCAAACCCCCGTAAATGTGGGCTGGTAATCCAGTGACCCAAATGCAATCATGTGACCACAGGAGGCTTGGCTGTTGAAATTCCAATCTGGGTTGTAAGTAGCTCCGTTGTAGCTCTGAATGGTTGCTAAGCGACTGGTCATAAATCAAGGGCTACCAGTATTCATACCTTTGATTTTTCCTGCTCAAATGCAGGACTTTGCATTTCTTCCTGTTGAAATTCATTGTCCTGTATTCTTCCTATTGTTCCATTTTATCAAGATCCTCCTGAATCTTGACATTTTATCCTCTAAGGTGTTTGCTACCATCCTATTTTTTTTTAAGAAAAAGAATATTGTTTTAAAAAATAGCAGGAATAAAAAAAGAAAAGACAATTGATGGAGGTACTTCTTTTTGAACACTGTATTTTTAAAGTACAAAGATGCCATATATGTCTTTAAGTGACTGGGGAATTAAAAAAAATGACTGGGTGAAAAAAAAAAACGTACGCAAGCATTCACAGATTAAATCCAGGACATATCTTTGATTTGGTGCAATTCAGTTCACAGGTAGGAATCTTTCATACTGCAAATAATAGGAACAAATTAAATGTGTACGAAAGTCAGAGGATCTTTTCTAAGCACCCTGATAAAAATAGCAGGAATGGAAAAAGGAGACAAAATATTTCATGGTCTTTTCGAGTCTTTCTCTGTTCGCCTTTGGAGCAGGGAGAACAGCATTCGCCAAGGCTCTCGGGTGCTGCAGAGTTTGTGCTCTTTGTGGCGCTCCATATTTCTTCACCTATCTATGCCAACTCATAATATTTTCCAGTCTCAGGATCAAAGTAGCAGTTTAGGCATGGGTCGTACAAGAGAGTGAGAACTTCATCTTCTTCCCTCCCTTCACCTTCACCTAAAGGGAAAGGCAAAACAACAGATGATGTACGATGTTCCAAGAACATGAAAGATTTGCTTTATCTGCAAGATAAAAGAAAAGAAAGAAAAAAGAAAGAAAGAAAAGAAAAGAAAGGAAGAAAGAAGGGAGGGACCCAACTAGAATGTATTAAAACGAGACAATATGTTTGTGGGAAATGACTCACAGTTATATAGGTTGTCCTTGACTTACGACTGATTGCTGAACATTCAAAATTACAACAGATTCTCCCTGCAGGTAGCTAGGACCTGGTTCTGAAGCTCTGATGGCCGCCCTCTCCACAGTCACGTGCCAGCATGTTGGGCACTTGGGAATTGCCCTGCATTTATGGCTGTTTGCAGCGTGCCATGGTCATGGGACTGCATTTGATGACAGTTTGGTTTCAGCAAAACCAGCCCAGAGCGAACCACATTCTTACTTAATGACCATGGCATTGGCTTGAGGACAGGCTCCATTATGATATTAAGTCGAGGACTACCTGTACTCTATATCAAAGGCTCATTGAATACAGCAGGTTTTCTCCTAGAAGGGTCAGAACAGATGCTCTGGGAAACTTTCAAGCAAGCAGGAAATTGAAATATTCGAAGAGATTTCCTGAAATATATGTTTTGCTTCGTTGGAAGACTTTAAACAAAGATTAAATAGTCATCTGAGATGAGTTAGGCAGAGAGAGAATGACTAGCCCCAAGTCACCCAGCTGGCTTCTGTGCCTAAGGCAGGACTAGAACTCACGGTCTTCTGATATCTAACTGGCTTTAGCCCACTAGACCAAACTGCTCTCAAGGGTGGGTGCTGTTTGATAAAAGAGCACTACTGGCTTTTTGTCCTGCCATTGCTCACCGTTATACTTTCTTTACTTAAAGTAAAACTTCAAAAAATAAATCCCTAAAAAACCTAAGATAAACCAATACTGTCTGGTATTTTTCATATTAGAGAGTTCCAACTGTGCTCTAGTTCCTGCTTTAATTTATTTGGATTGGATTTTAAACCCCAATTAATCTTGAAAGCTTGATATGATTTCCAGAGCTGAAAAGTCAGTCAAGTAATGAAAAATTCTAAGCATAAAAGAGGCAGTAAAGGCTAATGTAAGCTTCTTTCTAATACCTAATAAATTGGAAAGTCATGTCTCCTCCAAATGTACAAGGAAGAACAGCAACATTATAAGTGGATTTGCTAAAAAACTATCACTCAATTTCTATTGGCTGGTCAGGCTTTGGAGCCACTATCATCTTTCGTCTACTCTTCTTGATCATCATCAACAGTCAAAGGTTCCGGAAGCATCTGACAGGTGGACTGGGGGGATTAAAATTGGGAGTATAAAATTGGATACTACAACATGTGTAGAACTCCAGCACAGAGGTTGCTTTGCCGTGTAAACGGCATATTGCAGCACCATCCTATTTGCATATATTGACTATGTGCCATTAAGTCAGTTTCAACTCCCAGTGACTATATAGTTGCTCTCCATGATGGTCTATCTCTAGCCTGTTTTTTGCCACTGTAATTGAATCTGTCCACTTTGCTGCTGATTGTCCTCTTCGTTTCTTTCTTTCCTTCCACCTTTCCCAGCATTAGAGCCTTTTCCAAAGAGCTGGATCTTTATATAATGCGTCCAAAGTAGGATACTTAGAGCCTGGCCATTTGTGCCTCAAATGAAAACATTGGGTTGATTTGTTCAATCATCCATTGGTCTGTTTTCTTGGTTGTCCACAACACTTTCAGGAATCCAATGACAAAGTTCAAGGGAATCAAAGTTCAAGGGGGCTGGACTAGAAGACCTCCGATGTCCCTTCCAGCTCTATTCTATTCTATTCTATTCTATTCTATTCTATTCTATTCTATTCTAT